AAGACTTCAATCTCAGAAGGACCCGGCAATGTGCTCGGTGTTGCATCCGGAGTTTGCAAATTAAGTTCATTCTTCGACAGAATAGTTATAGTGGCACCGACCACCTCAAGCAATCCGTCCATTGACCTATCCCATGGATGTATGAGTGCATTTGATTCTACAACATGCCATGATTCCTCATCGGAGTGCATAAGGGTGGTCCTATAGGAGTATTGCTCGGTGTTTACTTCTGCACGAGGGTCGAGGAACTTCCCCTCACAGGGGCTGTACTTGACCTTACATTCGGCGTAGTCACACCATCCATCACTGATTCCGCTTCCGATGAAAGCTAACCAGCCCTGATTCCAGACTGCTCGGGCACCGGATCCTCGGAGAACTGGTCCCTTCGGAAGAGTGGTGTCTGATGTCTCAAGGGTTTCCGCCTTTGGGTTTGGGACGGCACTCTCGACAGCATCTTGGACTTCAAGGACTGTTTCGACTTCCTCTTCGGCCGCGTCAGCGATCTCTCCTCTGCGAACCATTTCCTTGCGATCCTTCAGTGGGAAGGTGAACGGTTCAGGTACGTCGATGCGAATGACTCTTTTGATCTGATGCATATCCTCGTACTTATCTGCTTTGGCCGACTTGAGATCAACTACGAAATATTCTGTCCTCCATTGAAACCCTGGGTGAACGATGTAACCAACGAAGACCCCTGCACTTGATGTGGGATCGAATCTCAGCTCATCTTTGGGTTTCTTTTTGGGACCATTCCAGTAGTTCACCATGCATCCAAAAGGCCAACACTTAATAGGTGATTGTTCCCCGAATCTCAGCTCCCATGGAGAGGCAGTTCCATCTAGAGCATACAAATTGTTGTTCATGACACACCAGTGACGTGCAAGGCCAAAATCCGTGGTTGAGACCGGATTGCAAGAGGTTCACACGAGTTCCTTCAAGCACGGTTCGGATCGACCTTTCCGCTACGGCATTGCTGGCGGATATGTATGCCTTTGATAGTACATGTCTCCACTTCAGCTCTTTCATGGCATTGATCAACTCAGGAGCGTTGTCGGAATAACAAATTCCCACTTCATCATCATTCGAAACAAAGTGTTTCATAGCCAGGATGACTGATTCGGCACTCTTTCTAGCACTGGGATACACATACATGCACACTTCTCTTCATCGATTCCCATTTCATATTCATCACCGGTAATGAGAAAATCACATGTAATGTGATCACCGAATTTCTTGGCTTCAACTATTGAGGACCCGTCTTGCCGATATGATGGAGGCTTAGTCATTTTTGCTTTGTTGCAAACGTCACAATATGGGTTCTTGGGGTGATGGCTCACCAGATGCCCAAGTGATTTGGCCTCTTTCTTCAACAATGATATCCCCTTTCCCAGGTTCCTGTCCAAGTTGCCTTCGGCAGGTACCTGCGGAACATCATCATCAACATCACCCATCGGCGAGACCTTCCGGTCCGCATTGCCCTTCGGTGCTTCTTTCTCTTTCTCCGGCGCAGCCTTCCGGCCCGCTTCATTCTTCTCTGGGCTCTCTTTCAACACATTCATCCCGTCATCACCCGAGGCCGATGCCGGTTCAGCAGGAACAGCTGTACCACGTCCAGGAGCTATGGGATGTAGAGACGTTGGAGCCAATGAGGAAGACGAAGTCGAGCGGGGCCGATCGATTGGATTGGGAGTGCACGGATTGGCGTTTGACTTGGCCCTGGCAGGAATGTAGGGGACGTAATCCCTGACCACGAGCTCTATCTTCTCTCCGTCCGGCTTCCTAAAATAGGGTGGTTTGCCGGATCTCCAAATGAAATCATAACCTTGATCAACGCATCTCATTCCGACAGACATGACCGGTGGTGTCGACTCGAGCAAATACGGATCAAACCTACAACTCAATGTGTCGTTGTACACCTTGGCCTGAAGGTTCGACGAACTATGACCATTAGCTGTGATGATAGCAATCGGCCGGTCCGATCGATATTGGAATTCATCAGGGATGTCATGTCGGGTCAACAGGTCCTGAGCGCTTCCGGTGTCTGCGATCCAGTCCTCATGCGAATGGTGGAAGTATTTGACTTCCCTCGGAGAGGACGCGGGCAACGCAACAATATCAGCAGGAATGCACGAGTCACAACCTAGGTCTGAATCACACATGTACTTACAGTCTGTTTTGATACCCTTCAGCCAACCGGACACCGCTCCCTGAAGCATGCGCGCTGTCAAGATCGAATCATCAACTGCTTGAACGTTAGGCTTGGTCTGATAGCTTGCTGGGAAAGTCTTCTTCGGTTTAGATGGTTCCGAAACAAAAGGATCAAGTCTGCCCCATGCATGAATCCTTGTGATATCGGGCCTGAGGTTAAATGACACCCCTGGACATGCAATATGTGGCTCGCCTTCCCAGGCCGCCTGGCTCTCATTGAAGGTTGGGCCGCTCAATGAGAGGCCATCGACCACGGATGCGAGCATCGATGCAACCAGACAAACTGCTGCGGGAGTGGACTTACCTGCACTGCCCCTCGAACCACGAGAACCCTTTGAGGACCTAGAGCCTCCAGACTTACGCGAACCACTGGAGCCCCTCGACTGAGATCGGTCTCCCTTCTTCTTTCGACGTTTGTCTTTCTTGCTCTTGTCACTCTTCTGAGAATCTCGTGAGGGCGATCTTGCAGGAGTTGCCTTCCTGGGTCGTTGCTGACCTTCATGGGAGAATTCACACTTGTCCCCTCGCTTACAGCGTCCAGCCTTCCAAAACTTGCATGCAATCTTGGAGGTGTCCCGTTTCTCCTTTCCTCTGGACTGGGAGCGCCCCCTAGGACTCTTGGTGGCACTCTTCTCCCGTTTCTTAGGAACTTCATGCTTGAAAGGGCAGTTCTCCTTGCTACAACCCCCTTTGTTCCACTGAACACAAAACTTGCTGGGGATGAATGGTGTGCGCGCGTCGGCCGCAGGGGCGGACGTCTTGGCACCTCCAACACTAGCGGCAATCCGTCCCCGATTGTCCTCTAGCCTTTCCCTCATGAGATGTCTGCGAACAGCGTCATACAGGAATTGATAGCAGTGCTTTGAACTTCCCTCTTCGGCCCGGTGGTACTCCTCAATGTCATGAGCGATTGCCCTGTGATTCTTCACTTGTTGGTAGAATAGAGTTTCCAGGACTGTGGTTTCAGGCAAATGAGTGACACCGGTAGTGACTGAATCCCAGTTCGTCAAGAAAGTCTTGAGATTGTCGCCCTTCATTCTCACATTGAACAGATCACTGAGGGAATAGGTGGCTCCATGTTTGATATTTGTGCTGAAGTATTCATGCATCATGAGTAATACCTGTCTCCCCCGTACTGGACGATCTTTCTGGGACTCCTTCTCCTTGAATGTGTCAACCTTGCGTGCGAATTCACCTGTGGCGATGGACGACAGTGCGGCGAGAAGCTTGGCATCAAGGGTAGTGAACCCGTCGGGACTTGCTAGACCTTCGATTGTTTGACCTTCAATCCAAACCTTGTTGATCCATGAGAACGCTTTGTCAGGCTTGGAAGATGCGGCCCTCACCGCGTCCCTCACCCTGATTTTCCAGTTGCGATAGTTCTCAGGTTGTGGAAAAGAAGGTATCTTGATATGGTCAGCTTCCTTCGTGGTACTACTCTTTCCCCCCAATACCTGTTTGAGCTTCCTCATGAGAGCCTTGTCTGTCAATTCATCGTCATCATCGTCAAACTCATCTCCTCCGTCTGGGTCGCTGTCATCCCCCGGAGGTCCAGGTGTCCACCCCCCGACTTAGGAATCTTGAGAAGCGGAATGCCTGGACGCCCAGGATTAATCGGGTCACCTGATGAACGACCTCCACCAGGGTTGTCTCCTCCCCCTCCTGGCGGTCCACCACCACCATTACCTGGCCCGCCCCTTCCGAAGTTGCCCGACAATGCATGTGCTGCTAATGACCCGTACCCATCATTCCATGGACTCACCGGTTGAAAAACTGCAGCGTTAGGGGAAAATACGCTTCCGGGTTGAGACTTAAGGGATGGAGTACCGAACAGTTCAGCAGTTCGTAGTGATCTAACATCATCGTGCTGGGACAAACCTGCAGGTGGTGCCTCATGCACTGGTATGGTTTCACGAAGTTCGGCAGCTCCTTCCGGAACACCCGGCGCATCATCCTTCCGTTGCTTCATTTCGCGAAGCTCCTTCAGGAGTTGTGCCTGGATTGATTCCGTCTCAGTTAGCCGCCTTTGCAAATCCATAGACGCTTGTTGTTGCTGTGCCAAGTTCATCTCAAGGGATGAGACCTTCTGACTCTGAATCATTTCGATTCCAGCGATATGCTGACGGTGATTCATGGACATTTCCATGAACTGAGTCTGAGCCTGCTCTTGTAGTGTTTGATATCCAGCTTCGGCTGCGGTGATGAATAACTTCGCCTGGACCCTCATCTCCTCATTTTCAGAGAACGCTTCATCAGCCTCGTTTCGGAGTCTCTGTGCTGCGAGCATTAGTTCTGCTCGTTGCCCCTCAAGTTGCTGATTTTGCGTGGCCTGGCGCATCATCTCCGCGAGTACAGCTGGAGGCGTGCTCACAAAGGAAAAATTGGCCTGATTGAACACCGGCGCGGTGTTCCCACCCGCTCCCCCTCCGTCAGTTGACATGTTGGATCCTCCGTCTGGTGTGAACGAGACGCCCGGATCCATCAACGGTAGATGGAAAGCGGCGGGGTTTCCACCCGCGCTCTCACGCCCATCCGCACCATTGTACGGCGCAGCCAGCCTCGCGAGGGCCCCTGGATCCAGGGATAAGTCCATGGCTGCGAATGACGCGGGAGCAATACTACGGGCCTAAGGCTATACGGCTGATAACCTATGTTTACAGGAAACCAGCCAATATCGCCCACCTTTTCACTTGAGCCAAAGATCGATGGTCGAGAGGTATATAGTACACAGAATACGTGGAACACTTAGTAAAAACAGAAAGCACAAGAGTGGGCAACTCTGGGGCACAAACCTTGCGATGTCGGAGTCGTTGTACCACGGAAATCTTCTGCAGCCAAGCCTGGGCCAACACTCAGTAGGTTGAAACTGATGGCGTTGATCGTAATTACAGTACATGTTCCCGCATTGTCTAATGGCGCTCAACCTAATAGCGATGGCCTCCAACCTAGTAGCTTCTTGTTACTAGTGGCTTCTTAGTTACTAGTAGCGATGCCCGGGTTCCTAGTAGCGATGCCTGGGTTACTAGAAGCGTTGATCGTATTCCCGCTTTGTTTGCGCCTCAAAGATCTGTGCACTGAAGCCTGTCTCCTCTGTGCACTGAAGGAAGCGCTCCGGATTGTACCTCGATCGCACCGGATCACAGCCAATTCTTTTTATAGACTTCCATCAAACATCATCAAACCTATCCGTTTCCATCTGTTTGGTTCAGGAGCGTGCCAAAGCAGTGTGGCAAAGGCCACGAGCAAGGCTCGTCGCAGTTCGGTGGTACCAATCTCGCCCGAAAGGCGTGTCCTTGGTGGAGCACTGCTAACTCTTCACCTCTGTGAGCTCCTTGTCGTACAAGGCCCGTGGCCCTGCCTCCTAGGAGCTTACCAGGCTTCCTTGAAGAAGCGCTCGCACTATTCATGTGGTTCCTAGATTTTCAAGAAACTTAGTTTCCAAGAGGACCTATGGCGCCTAGTTTCAGATTCACAACAGTGAAAAGGATCAGCACCGATGCGCTTCGTACAGCTTCCTGTGGCTGGCCCTTCGCCCTACTTTAGGTGCTTCCTCTTGCCGCCTTTTTCTTCTTCGACAATCAATGTGTCTTGGCCAGTCTGGGGGAAACAAATGGCACATCAGAGCTGTCACCGAAGTCCTTTACCCGGGCGGAAAAGCATTGCAACTCCCTCAGATGCACTGACCTAGCAGGGAACAGTCTGGTGGCAAGGAGCTTGAAAACATTGTCAGCCACGCTCAAAGTGCGAGTCATGCAGTCATGCAGTAGAGAAAACAATACATTTGATCTTCCTCAACGTTGATCCTGGCCTCCCAAGACTCTTTGTGCAGAAAGCACTGCCACTTGCTAGTATCGGTCACTTTCACTTCATTGCCTGAGGCCAAGCTGGACCAAGCGGAAACCAACAAGCAGCAAGTTGTTTGCATCACTAGGACCATCCACACCCATCGGCGATAGAACCAAAGGGACAAAGCTTCTGGCCCAAGAATTCAACAAGAGTATTTGACCCTGACTCATAGATGATGACTATTACAGTTCCACATGCTTCATATGCAGGCTGGATTCCTATTCCTAACTCAGTTGTAGATTTCCTCTCGATCAACATGCGTAGGTATCCGAATTCAGAAGACTCGACAAGGTTAAGAAAAAGACTAGAATTTGGATTCACTTCAACTCAGTTCACAATAGTCTGGCGGCAGCGTGCTCCAAGGGAAGCAGCAAAGAAACATCAAGCACTCATATCTTTCGTGGCCAAGTCACAGCTATGATCAACGCCCCAAACCCAGCCCAAAAGCGGCTTCCAGGGCAGAGCCAATTCGAGCTGCACCAACAGCCGTGAACGCACCATTGTTGGCTCCTTCTCCTTGTGAGAACAAGAGTTGATCAAACCCATTGAAGTTGGACAAGAAGTCATCAGTCGTCACAGTGCATGATTAGGGGTAGTGATATGTACAACCGTTTAGTAACAGGGGCAATGAACATTGAGAAAGACATAGAAAGACGGGCAGTAGCACATTACAGTATGTGACAATTCTCCATAGGACACTAGCCATCTTGTTACAAGTGTTTCACCCTTGCACTTGCACCTCTGAAACCTTGAAATCCAACAGTTTCACCTTGAAGTCTGTGATGAAGCCACCGGCGAGGTTCCTGGGTTCAAAGTGTCCCAAATCGAACTACCCGGTGACTTACAGGCTCAGTTAGCACTAAAGCGATGCCACAGATTCTTATCGCCCTTCCATACGGACCGGCAATGATGGACATCCATACCTGTCTGAGCCAAGCCAAGCTGCTTCAGATTTTGAACAAAGCGCTGTCTCCCTCGAAAGGAGGTAAACGGGTCCGCAAACTCACAATCCTCGGTGTACAAAGGCACATCGATGTCACCAGTCAGGAAGTAGTTGCGATCGTAGTCTGCTCGCAAACGTTCCACCAGCTCTTCGCGGCTGTTTGGAGCCTCACCTACTGGCATCTCCTCCTCAGCTCCAACCAGTGAGGCTCGAGCATTGCCTAGTGCCTCGGCCGCATTCCAAACCACTTGATCCCACCATCCTGCACCTGCTCCAGTTCTGGGTCGTGAGAACCTTCTCAACCTATTGGTATCCGGAGATCTATGCACAAAGGCATGCCCCACGAATCCCAGAAATAAAAGCGTGGGACAGAAAAGGCTTCTGCGCTTCAAGCGGCAAAGCTTTGCATTGAACGACATAGGACTACTCACTGCCATATGAAGAAACAGTTCCAAGTCTGCTGCATCTGCGAATTTCGTGCCACATGCTAGGAACTTTATCTGAAAGAGAGTCGCATAAATGGAAATGATCTATATACACATATATATGTACAATGTACACGATATTCAGTGATGAACTTGACAAACACTCAGACATATCATCAACCCTTCCTAATACCGGATTTGGATGAATTGGATCCGCAATTTGTCAATGTTGCACACACCATGTGTGTGTGTGTGTTGAGTGCTGCATGCTGCGGCAAGCAGAGTCAAACCTGCCCAACTACAGTATAACCTCTGCCGTTCTCACAGGAACTTATTCCAACGCAAATGTAACGACAAGAAAGGCGTAGTTCTAATCAATGATTGATTCCCCTCCACAGCTGAGGGCGCAGCCAAAACTCGCAAAGGTACGGTGCGAGCCAATTGTCAGCAGCTGGGCCGTTGTGGAAAAATAGACGAGGGTGTCATGCTGGAACATTTATAAAATGCTAACATGTCCAGTATGTATTCAAGCATATACATTCATGTACCTGGTGGAGCTGCATAAATGAAGATGGCACTACCCAACTCCACAGCTGCAGCTGCATCCTGAGAAAATCGGACTGATCAGTGAGGGAAGACGTCTGTCAATGTTTGACATGTGTCCATGTCAAATTCCATTGGAATTCACGCGCAAGCACCTTATCAAGCTTCAATCCGATTAATTCCACTGCTCGGGCTGGTTTGTTTGTTGCACCTGCTCTGCGCCGAGACCACCAACTTGAAGGACCTACCACAACTTTTGGTGGCACTCTCAACACTCTGTGGAAGCATTGAGCAACCGTGTGTGTGTGTGTGCAACCCTTGGAGTCACAGGGTTTCTTCCTTTGAATTTGTTTTTGTTATCCTTTCTTCAGCAGGGGCCAAGGCCTCCAGCGATGAACTTTGTCCACTTGTCCAACGAAGATAAATCACCGGAGGGGAAGCGGATGGAGACGTCCATTCGTGTACCTGCTATGGTTGCGAGCGTTGTAACCGCCCTCCACTTGTAGAGGTTTCAGGCTGGCAGGATGATTCATCAGGTCTGCAGATGTGCAACTCATACCTTTTCCTGGAACTCTTAGGCGTTCATACCTAGGTGAGCGTGTGGCATGTGGCATTCAGTTCCGTACGCATTGTCTTGAGTGTGTCTAGCTTGAGGCCAGCCCAGGGTGGGCCCGAAGAGCGCCCCCCGGTGGACCCGTCGAACGGGGGTTTGTCAAACGTATCCCCTGCCCGGATACAAAGCAGTCCGCAGCGGACGGGGTAGGCTTGTGCCTAAGTCATTTGCCGAGACCTGACGAATTATTGAACTTGAGCACTTACTGCCAAAACGTGACCGCAGCGGTCCAAGCAGGCTTGACGCCACACGGTGGTCACAGCGACCGAAGCCTTTCTTAGGTTCATTGGAACCTGTCCCCACCTTAGGTGCACACACAGCGTACACTCCAAACCAGGCAGGTCTTCCTAAGTCTTTCTAATGCGGTTTGGTTTCATCTGTTCCTGGCCCCTCCATTTGGTTCCCCTTTTCATCTTTTCCCCTCACACACATCTTCTTTCCTCTTTTCTTTCATGTCTTCCTGCCTTCATGTCTTGGCATCTCACCCCTTCTTTCTTTTGCGCGCAAATTGGTCCAGCCCTTAGTTTGCACGCGCACATTTACATCTACTTCAAACCCAGGTTTCAGGCCGCCCAGGTTTGACAAAGAGGTGAGGTTCATTTTTGTCCCTGTGCATTTGGCTTCCTCTTCATCGCAACCACGTACACTTTTGTCCTGTCTTGTCCCCCTTGTCATGTCTTCATCTTTTTGTCCTTGCTGCGCGCACACATGCAGATCAGTCCTGGCCTTGGGTTCCTTCAAATTTGTTTTTGCAGTCTTTAGCTAAGGAAAGAGCCTCCCCTGTGGGAGGCGTGTGTGTGCAACCCTTGGAGTCACAGGGTTTCTTCCTTTGAATTTGTTTTTGTTATCCTTTCTTCAGCAGGGGCCAAGGCCTCCAGCGATGAACTTTGTCCACTTGTCCAACGAAGCTAAATCACCGGAGGGGAAGCGGATGGAGACGTCCATTCGTGTACCTGCTATGGTTGTGAGCGTTGTAACCGCCCTCCACTTGTAGAGGTTTCAGGCTGGCAGGATGATTCATCAGGTCTGCAGATGTGCAACTCATACCTTTTCCTGGAACTCTTAGGCGTTCATACCTAGGTGAGCGTGTGGCATGTGGCATTCAGTTCCGTACGCATTGTCTTGAGTGTGTGTGTGTGTGTGTGCGTCAACCCCTGTTTCCAAGGGTTCACGCAGGGGAGTGGAGCAGGCCTGCAGAGCTCCACTTAACAAAGCTCTCTGCAGTGTCCTGAGGATATCGGAAAGGACGCTTGCCGACGTACCTGCACCGGAAACTGTTGCTCAAGCTTTTCCACTTTCGATTTGATTCATGGTGGTTTCACACGATACCTTCCCCACAAACAGGTTTTCCCACCACAGCTTTCAGCCGCTTGTGCATTACCGCCAGCAGAGCGAGTGAAACAATGTTTAACATTTCAAGTCACCGGACCTGTTCACCTTGCCGTTCCATCACCTTCCTTCTCACCGTGGGAATTGAGTTAACAGCAAACCAATGTCAGAGTGTGTGTGTCCTCACATTGTTTTTTGTGGTGGTGGTGGCCTTTTTGACCATGCAGAAAACCATCTCTGCGTAGCTCATGTTCCCCTGCGACAGGGACAGCTCTTCAGCGGTACCAAAAGCCAAAGGGTACAGATTGGTACAAAGGTCATGTCCTGCCTGCAAGATACCTTTGATGATACCTGTCAGGCCTCACAACACCTCACGACGGCAAGTGTGTGGGCCTCTGTCCATGAGCCAGAGAGAATGACATCCACCGGACCGCGGGCAATGTAGTTCCTTCGGCACACTTCTCATGCGTTAGCAGCTAGTCAGCATACAAGACACAAGACTCGGGGCAAGGCATGCCGCAAGGCCCCTATGCTTCAAGAATTGAGCTCCCGGCAGCAATGGGTCCAGGATGCTGCCCATGTGATCCGGAGCCCAGCCATTCTGGGGTGAAACAAGTTCAGCCGGGCATTCTGTGTTGAAGAACTTTCTAGATGAGCTTCGGCCAATACGTATGATTAAACCTCTACGTCGTATCAAGTTCTTACGCTGCTGCTTACGCAACCACAGTTTTAGCTTGCGCGAGGCCTTGGTGAACAAAAGTCTTACGCAAAGCTTACGCCATGACGCAATTATGATTCCGAAAGGTTCCCCCCAAGAATTTGCTTACGCAGCAATACATGTTTTATTCATGTTATTGTAAAGAACAGTACTTGCGCAAAGCTTACGCAACACGTGTGTTCAACATGGAGCTTACGCAACCTTGCGCATCACAATGTTTTACTTACGCCACAGATTGATGTGACATAGATGCTTAATGGAATGTCAAGGGAGGTTGTGGCTATTGCTCAGATGAAAAAGTAGACTTGGTCGACTTTGTCAAACATGTCAAAAGTCTGTTGATGAAAGTCATCTAAACAAGAATCATCTTGAAGCAAAGTTTAAACTCTCATGAAAAACTATATGGCATTCATTTGCTTGAGATTCCGCCACCTCCAGCCTGGCCTCCAGTGGTTCAGGAAGCTGAAGCGATGCGGTGGAGCGCCCGCAAATTGCTTGGAAGAGCCGTGGAAACCTGCGGCAAAGTGGTTCATCCAAGGACACAACACTAGGGAAAGTGTTGAATTGATTGCAATGGTCTATATTCTATATAAAATGCCTTCTTTCCAAAGCCTGGACTGTTAGACACCCCACTATATATTTCCACAAAGGCTGATACACTCCTCTGCTGGGCCACCGGCGGACCCCAAAGATTTGCTGGCATCGGCAATGCACAAAAGGCGGTGAGATAGGTGACCCTGCAGGTTTCGGTCGGAAGCAACCACAGTAACGTGATGGCTGCGCACAAAGCTTTGGGGAGTAAATCATGTCTACGTAAGTATGCAGGCGTTTGCCCAAACAGAATGTCATGAGAAAAAAAGCATGACTTGCACGGCTTTGGAATGTGTGTGTGTGTCCCACCCTGGACAAAGGGTCTTTCACCGCCACTCTCTCCATTTTACACAGGCAGGGGCGTGTGGCCTTCTTGTCCTACCACACGCAATGAAGCTGTGGACAAGAAGGGGAAGCAGGGACTGATCATCCCTGTGTACCTGCACCTTCAACTGTTGACCAAGCTTTTCCACTCTCGATTTGATTCATGGTCGTTTGCATGATACTTCCCACAAACCTATTCGTCCCCAGCAGCTGCGCCGCCGGTTTGATTGCTGCCACCTTTGCGACAACAATGTTAAACCTTTCAAGTGCTCGGACCCATGCACCTTTCTGTTCTCTCACCTTCCTTCCCAACATGACTTGCGTTAACTGAAAACCCAAGTTCGAAGTGTGTCCTGCTCAGCCGTCCCACTCGGGTGCTGAGTGTGATCCCCGTCACAAGGGCGCCGATCTTACATGGGAAAGCAACCACCCCAACGCACCACCGCTCACTGGACTCTCACAGGAAGGCACCGACACCCTCACAGAATCAACCGCCACACCGGCCGCCGGGCCAAAAAACGGTTCTTGACGAATGTTTCAGATTCCAACTTCCAGATCTCAGATTTCAGCATTCAGTTTTCTTTTCATGTTTTCCAATCATGTGCGGGTTTCTATGTTTGCTATGTTGCTGCCGCGATTCTTTCCTCGACAGAACTCAAGGATGGGCATTACAGCTCTTCAGCTTAATTCGAGATGCATGAACACACACCTACCAACTTAATTCGAGATGCATGAACACACACCTACCAACAAGCTCACATCTAGCACCACCTTCCAACATACTCACCATTGACACCAGAGATGACACCTTCAACAACAACAAGACAATACAACTCGGCACTTCCCCGCTGCTTTTTGCTACCGCGCCGCGCCGCGCCATAGCTACGACCACGACATGCATTTTCCGTGGCCCTACGCTCACACCACGCCACCACCATCACCTACCACACAACCTCAACCCACATGGCCGATGCCACAACCATCAACTGCACCCACTTTTCCCCCGACACAACCATCGGCATACCCTCATCCACAACCACAACCATTTCAACCACCACCGTTTCTGTCCAACCCTACCGCCACTGCACTGACCTACGGCACACCATCCACTTGGACTTTTGTCCAACCATGTCACGTGCCACCGCAGCCCACACATCCAACTCCAGTATTTCCGACAGCAGCACCTCCCCCTTCCTACCTGTTGCCACCACATCATCCCACACCACCGGCTGAACTCCCTCCCCCCACTACACTGACACATCCCCCTCCAACACAGCAACAGACTGCGATTGCCAATCATCCATCCACAGACCCCCAATGCGCCATCCCCCAGGGCGTTTGGCAACCCTATTCAGCCTTTCCCCCCGTCACACAGCCTCCACTCCAACCGTTGCCCCCGCCACCACCTCCACAAACCATCAACGCCTCAACACCAGCCCAACCTCCACTTCAACAGCAGCCACCATCGGATCCAACACCACCAATCCAATCCACCCCTACGACTGCCCAGGACAATCCATTACCAGTCCAAAACACGCCCCCACCAACTACCGTATCCCAACATTCAGCATCCCCATCGCTGGTATCTGCCACACCAGCGCCTGGATCTTCACTACCAGCACCAGACAAACCTGACACCACTGCCTCACCGGCACCGCAACCACCTTCCCCGCAACCACCACACAGCAGTCGCCGCCACCACCACAAGAGCCGACGCAAGTCCGACCATCACCACAGAGGACGCCACCGCCACCGCCGCCGACATCACCATCACCGCCACTCCAAACATCACAGCACAACCCGGCGACGGCGGTCGCCTTCAACATCCACTTACACATCCAGCCTTACGCCTTCCCGCAGTCGCTCGCCACCACAACCCATTGATCTACGCCCTAACACCGAACACTCCAACCCAGACCCCTCTCAATTTCCCACCACAGCCGTCCTTCGTCGCCCAATCAACCGTTGGCGACCTCCACCCAACTTTCACACCTTTACACCTGCAGACCAAATCCTGGAATGGCTCGAATTCCACGCCACCCAACTCGACAATCCCAACCGACCACAACACCAGTACATTGCCAATAATTGTCCTCACAGACTGCAACATCACCTACAAGGAGATCACCGATTTCCGACAATATACCCACGCCAAGTGGAACGACACAACTCACCAATACGACCAATTCCAGTACTACGCCATTTCACTTCCCTTCCTCAACACCAAAGCCACTACACCAGAGCCACCTGCGGTTTCCCGCGCCACATCAACCCACCGGGAAGTCGCCCACATCAATGCAGGCCACACAGGCCCCGTCGGCAACATTTCCAACATTCTACGCCAAGGGCGATTTTTACCCAGCACACTCCACTTTGCCAACTACCCTGGATTTTTTGCCCAGGGCGTTCGCATCACCCACAACCAACCCCATGACCACAACGAACTTGCCCGCATCATCCACAACACCTGGCAACTCCACAAGAATTCCCACTCCCTTATCATCACACTCCTTGCTTGGGGTGCTGCCACAAAATATACCTCTGGAGGTGAGGAACACGCCATGAACCTCCTTAACGACCACCATGGTGCAGTCTTTCATCAGAAGGGCCGCTGCTGGGTGATCCACCCGGACCACGCCATTGTCAAAGGACTGGCCTGGTCCACCAACTCCACTCCACCGGACCCATAACACCACTACCACACATCTACACACCACTACCACCTCCACATCCACTTTTGTCTCACACCACCACCCAACCTTTGCTGTAACAGCAAAAAAGAGCCTCCTGCATCGGCCACGCGAATTTGGAACCCTCAATTTTTCAAGCTCTGCAGTGTTTGCTGTAAACATCTTTCTTCGAATTGTACCGACTGTTTTGATGGAGTATTTCACATGTCAGATTCTCATGTACTTGCTTGTCCAACCGGCATTGCATATTCGCTCTTTTGCCTGTGGGAATTTGATGCTCGTTTAATTCATATGCACGGCCTCGTGATGACGCGCTCCCTCAGACTCGCCGCTGTCCGGCTGCTTTGGCGCGCTGCGCCAGCAACCTGTGACGATTCTTAGCTACTGTACACCCCTACATCTCAGAATCATGAGTAGCACACCGACACCTCTACAAAACGACACCTCAACTCTCATACACAGAACCGCAGTGGCACTTTCGCAGGTGCAAAACCTGCTCCGACAAGCAACAGATATTGTAGCGCACCTCCACACTGTTTTCCTCCACCACTGCCACCAAGCGGACCCCACTTTCCGCCAACACTTTCAGCCACTTCCAACTCCGCCCAACCACCCTATACGTTTACCATCTACCACCTCATCCTCTGACTCAGCACCATCCAGACCACCCAACCGTTTACCAGCACCACCTTCAAAAGACTCAGACGACACTCCAACAACACCCCCAGATCCACAACCCACCACAACGCGCAAGCGGAAGCAACCACCCCCACCACCACTGAACCGACAGGCGGACTGGAATGCTTGGGACGGCGACGCTGACTGTCGCCTGGTCGAACTCAAAGAAAACCCCAAACTTCGTCCCAACTGGACCACTGTGGCTCGCCGAGTGGGCTTCTCCGTTGAGCAATGCCAAGCCCGATGGCAAGAACTCAAAGACATGCAACGTCAGCAGGACCAGCAACTCTTCTCCACACCACTACCAACCGCACCACCAAGACAAGCACCTTCCCCCTCACCAACACCCACATCACCAGCAGTTTCCCCAGCACCACATTCACAACCGGATTTCTCCCCTTCCCCCATAACAACGCCACCGACTTCACAACATCCAACGACTCCTGCTGCTGTGCTGCTGCCGCCGGCTGCTGAGCGGGACCTTAGTGAAGACAGTCATCCGGAGAAATCTCCACTTACGCCCGTGGTCAGTTATTTCATTTGACCCGTTTCACCCACCTTTCTTTACGGCGTACCGCAGGACAAATCCACTGACCCGTACTGCCATTTGGTTTTTCACATCCAATCTACTTTCACCAGGTTGCCCAACTTCGATTTGTCAGTTTTCAGGCTCACTTCAGCTCCGCAGCCTTTTGTACGCCATTTTATTCCATCAATTGTCATGGCCAATCCTCGCGCTCGCCCTCATAGCAACCCTGCCGATACAGAACACTACCTCCCACAGCGCCCTCCAAGCTGGCTCCAACCTTCGATTAGCACTCAGCCAGATTTTCAATCCCTCAACGGCTCTTTGGACCTCCTCTTTCTGGTCAACCAACACCTCCGCCGTCACCCATTCCACACTGAACCTATGCCAAGCCAGACTTATTTTCAAGACCAGAGAGCATACAACCTCCTTTACCGACTGCGCGGTGACTTGATCCTGCTGGACCACTTGATCGATAACCTCTCCCAGGCTCGTCGGCTCCTTCAATTTGTTACCACCGGCCCCGGGCTCCCAGGACAATACCGCATCAACCCCACAGCCACACTCTCCAGCAGAAACCTGGCCATTATCCACAACATACCGCCAGGTTTTCCACTACCACCCGGACTTTCCAGCCGTTCACCCTCCCCTTCACCACGTACTACACCACAAGACGCAGAACGCCTACACTCCTACTGGACAGGCCCTCCACCACAAGCCACCCCGGCAACCCACATCAACACTACCACTCACACTAGGGAACGTTCACGGTCCCGCGACAGTCTCTCACACCGCATTGGCTAACTACAGCAACATCCAACCTCCAGCTCTACGGCAGCCGCCGCGCAGTTTGCCAACTATGAGACGGCATCCCTGCCCACGGCTACTGTTACATTTTGTTTTTCAAGTCTCACTGACTTTCTCGGCG